ACGCCGAGGGCACACGTGGCGAGAAGCCCGAACCCCTCAGTAAGCGAAGAGACAAGGAGGAAGCCTAGTGAGAGCATGGCGCGTAGGTCTTCCCGCCTGTAACTAATACACAAAGCTCGTGGACGTTAACGCTGAATGCAGAAAGTTGGGCCGAAGGTAGCATGGAAAAGGCCATGCGTAAGGCACAAGAGACCAAGAAGCGAAAACGGCACGATGACGACGATGGTCATATCGATGAAGAGCAAACTCCACGAGAGTCTGATATTGGATTTGACCGAAGGGGTCTTGTTTTGGGTCCCTCTAGACGACGAAGATTGTCGGAAAATTCATCTCCAGCTGCCAATGAAGATAAGCAGAAGCCACAGGAGCCCAGCCGAGTCCCGCCTCACTTTACGAACGCACCTTCAGGGAGATCTTACAAAGAATGGCCAGGTACAGTATTTCCCATGCCGCAAACCAAGTGCTGTAGTATCTGACCAGCTTACGAATATCAAACAGATGAGAACGGCAAGCTCTCAACCACGGCGGGAGTCATACTCCCAGATAAGTATGAACTGGACTTATCAGTCCCGGGATGCCCGTGGATTTGTCCCGTACGCGCATGCAGGAAGTTATTCCATACCTTGAAGAGCCTTTCATGCCATTTTGTACGTCGTTGCATCATCATGTCGTGCGCCTAAGTTGGACCTGACTCACAAGCGTCTAGGTCAATCACGGCAGCGTCCTCTTGAATGACAGCTTGGATGGGACACTTGCCGTAATCGGAAAGTACAAACCGCCACCCGGAGACGGCAAAAAAAAAGCCGGTGCCGTGCCTATGGTTGTCTCTCAAATGCCCGTCAACCCAGATGAGCATCCGTTAGTTATCCCCAAAGTCGGCCCCTATGCCAACGGTAAGGCCTTGAAACGGCATTCAACATCTTCCGCGCTGCAAGTCCCTGCCGAATTAGCCTTGTCGGAGGAGTTAGATTATCCCGTTTCGGGTTCCAGTGAGTCAGAGAGCTCGCCTGAGCCTGAGTCCGACGACGAAGTGCGAAAATACGAAATGGAGAAATCGTTGCCGTCACCCATCCGGTATGCTACGTACGATCGGCCATACACTCACTGGAGAGGTAAGTCACAGGGAGCTGCTCACTTTATTTTCACAACACTTGACTTCAGACTGATTGATCTATTTGCTAGACGAGTCGGGTGTGCTGCTACCTGGCTATGGAGCCTTATTTCCTGAAGGATACAAGCTTCTACCTTCCTCTTCTGGACTCCAGTGGGTTTGCCCTGTCCGGTCGTGCGGAGGGCAATTGGAGGAGAGGAGGAGATTGGGCCATCATTTTGTGGTAGGTTCTTTTCCTCTCCACTATTTATCCTCTCCACTATTTACTTGCAAACCGAAATGCTGACCAAGCCTTTAGAGGAAGCATAACAGGCATATGCTTAACGACAACGGAGATGGCACCTTCACGGACCTCGGCTTATATGACGGCCCAGCCCTGCCAGACATGGGAAATCTGGGTACCAATGCCTTTGTTGTTTCCCAAACCCCAATGGGTCCAGATGAAGTTGCTCCCGTGGGAATCACTTCAACGGGGTTTAGATCAGCACGTCGCTCACTCCGCCGGAGTAACCATTCGGCGATAGAAGAAGTGAATCCGGGCGACTCAGAAGAAAGTGATAACGATATCGTCGCCTCTGCTACCTATGAGTTGACGTCCACACCCCACCAAGACGAGGATAACGTAATCCATGGAAAGGAGAAGATCGTGAACGCTCCAGACGGCCGGCCCTATACTTTTTACAGGGGTGAGTGATCATTCTAAAGGGGCACCGATTCAAGAATGATACCAACTAACGGGCATAAACTGTAGACTCTAATGGCCAACTCTCGAGCGCGTATGGAGCATTAATACCTCAGGGTTACCAGACAGGTACAGACCCGTATTTGCCATGGGTATGCCCCGTACGATCATGCAGAAAGGGGTTCATAAGACCCGTAAATATGGGTTGTCACTTCGTTGTAAGTCTTGTCCTAAAACATCCCCTTACTGCGAAGTAATGTTGTTAACGGTAATCTGACTGCTGTAAAGGCCGCACATAGAGCCAAATTTCTACACGACAACCTCGACGGAACGTTCACAGAACTTGGTTCATATAACAACAATGCAAAGGGCAAGCACCCGCGTCTGCCGAGTTACGTTATATCACAGGGGTCCCCCGATCCAAACCAGTCAGGGTTGACTGCGCCCAAACCGGCAGAGCATGATGCTACGAAAACCGTCGTAACAGAGAAAAATGCGCTTCTCCCGCCTGGTAATCCCAAAGCGATGTGGGAATACGTGCGCCCGCTGTTTCCAAACCTCACGCCAGACGAACCGGCTCCGTACACCCGATGGCCGTGTGAGGAGCTTTTAACACTTGCGCGCGTCCGAGACGTCACCTTCAATCAGGAGTGGCTCGAAAGGAGCAGGGCCGGGTTCACGGCTACCCAGAAGACGGACATTACGAGCCTGCTCATCCAGGTGACGGGGACGCCGGCCGCAAAACCCTGCGTGTACTGCAGCCGGGGGTTGGGTCCTTATGTGGGCTGCATGCTGGTCGCACCCACCGCCAGTGCGAAGCTCAAGACGTCCATTACGGGCTGCGCAAACTGCTTCTACAAGAACCAGCAAGCCAAGTGCAGTCTCTACCGGGGTACCGGTACCTCGGGCGTTTCTGCTTCCTACCAGGGCAGCTTGCGCGAATCGACCGGTAGCCAACGAGAAACACTGCGGGAGAAAGCCATCAGACAGCTGCAGCGCGTAGCGCAGTCGGAGAACCAGACACAGTTGGAAAGCGATTCTGAAGGGGAGACGCCTCCTGTGTATAGAAGATGCGAGAGTTGTATCCGGAGGAAGCAACGCTGCATCCCGTCGCACTGGGCCAGCGGAGCAGAAGCAGCGGAGGTGAGCACTACTGGAAGTGTTCCCGAACCTCTTGTCAACGATACTCGGAGTCATGACGACAGTAGCAACAACGGCCGGCAGCACGAGACCCGCGGCGCGGCACGCCGAGCTGGTGAACCGTCCCCAGCAGCAGTCATCATGTCCACAGGCCAGCTACATGCGGAGGATGTGCTGGAGATGGAGGATTGGGAGGTGGCTCCCGGGCGAATTCGACAGGAAGGCGGCGATACTGTCGCTTACTCGCAGTCATATCTGTCGACATTCCAGACAGTGCAGGTGACTTCGGACTTGGGCTATCGCGTGGATAGAGTCCTGCCGGGAAGCACGCACCGGTTCGAGGCGGATGCAGAGAAGATCCGGCTCATCTCGGTTGCCCAGGGGAAAGTGCGCGTTCGGTTCGATAAATCGGGTGAGGAGTTTGCCATCGGTCCGCACGGCATGTTCAAACTCCCTGCCCAGATGGGCTGTTCAGTGCTCAACAGGATGTATTGCGATGCTGTTTTGCATGTACATGCTAGCGTCGATTACTCCAACTGAACGGGAACTGCCAATTTTTTGATAACTATCATTGCTGGGAAGGGTGGAAAGGGGTGATTTTAACAGTACATTTTTGACAGCTAGAGATGGTGGTAGCGATGGATTGTGCGCGTTAGGTACTTGTAATAATTAATGTGCACAGTTAGTGCGTGCAACACCTTTTATATCTTTTGCCTGATTGATAGTACCTATTCTACAAAAGCTAGCCAGTTTTAGACAGTCACGGTGTGTACATATTTGACCTTGCCGTCGACGACCCTGATCTCATGGCTGTCTGGCAAGTTTCCCAGGCTGTCAAATGAACACAAAACGTCGACCGACCCGACAGTCTCGTCAATCACATACCGCCGATTCCCGTTGTTTTTAGCACTGCCGCCATGGGGTAGTGACCCCCCACAGGGTTTAGTGAGGCGCGACCCCTCGACGCGCTCACAGTTCGTACCCCAGGGTATCGTGTCTGCCGCTTTTGCGTCCGTCCACATATCCAGGTACGCATCGCCAACCTTTTTGAGAAGGTCACGACTGGGGCGGGAGCTGTTATCAGTGATGGTGGACCAATCTTCCTTTTGGATGTAGGACAGTGTCTGAGCGGCGTTGAAGAATAGTGACCCGGTCGTGGCGGCAATGGTGTCGATCATGGAGATGGTAGAGGTATCGGAGTTAAGATGACGGATTTGCGTGGCGAGGACATAAGGTTTGCTGCCAGACGAACTGATGATCATGGTGTAGCTTGCGCAGGCGACTGTGTCGGCTGTTGAGCGGTTGAGATCGATCTTTAGGGGCGAGGACAAAACGCCCTTGTGGACATCGGTTGCTCTGTTGTTCTCCTGGTAGGTGAAATTATCAGGGGAGAGTTTAAGGGAGGTTAGGGTGCCGGAGGAGACGGCGGAGACGTAGGAACTGGCTGCTGCTAGCAACCCTTCTCGCGTACAATCTGCGGAAACGGTGGTGATGGAGACTGTGAGGAGAGCGAGCACCGTCAATGCGGTTCTGGGCAATCGTGAACCGAACATCGTGATTATTACAAAACGGGGTGGAGATGTTTAGATAGTCGTTCGTGGCAGCTCACTGACGACGCAAGAACCAACGAGCTACTCGACCGGACATTTTATATACCCTGTCGCCGAGTTGGAGAACCATTACGGTCCCTTAATTATATGCCGTGGGTAATATGTCAATAGAGGGTACAGGAGCGGGGTTGGTGTTCATCATGAATTGATATTATGAAATGAGGCGAACTCACACATTGCTCGCGCTGTGATTATTAGGCAATATTAGGCACTTGGATATTAGGCGGCTTCCATACAAGGTAGATAGCTTTTGGGATTTAATCTCCGGGCGCAGATGATTGTCAAGTCGCAGGCTGTCTAATAATTTCTTCGCAGAAACATGATGATGAACACTTCAGGCCATCTCTATCTTGTTTGATATGTGCATATTCCCAGTCCGTATTGACATGAATGCCACCACTCAGTCCGGTGCATACCGCCAGGCATGATGCAGTAGATTTGCCAGCAATTCATCCAAGGCAAGATGGCCGAGCGGTCTAAGGCGCTGTGTTCAGGATTCCTGAATTTCGCAGTCCGAAAGGGCGTGGGTTCGAATCCCACTCTTGTCATTGAACGAGGAAGGATATTCTCTTGTTCTCTTTTTCGTCCACTTATTTTGCAACTGTGCACATCATTCACCTCGTCTTTTTCTCGCGTTACATATCACGGTTCCTAATACCGGCTACACCTCGTGACTTAAGGCAGCTTTAATCTCAACGACGGTCTGACATCAAGAAGGTCGTGCTCAATAACGGAGCGGAAGATTGATGTCGACTTAATGATATAAGTAATTGGGACTAATTATGCATCATTGCCGGGTCTGTCCGAACTTCGAAGATGAGCCCGGAGATCTACTAAGAGGACCGAGGCTATCATACAGAGTAGACACGCTGTACGGTGTGCAAGGTTGGTTCGCTTCAATCGACCTTTAAGGATTCATTCAAGTCCTCACTTGGAATATTCGATCATGGCGCTCTGCAAACCGTTTGGTGATGCGAAAGGCGGCAGAACTTCAGCCGGGCGATCATGGGGTATTAACGTAGTCGGACGAAACCCACTCTGCCTCGATCGACCTCGCGGATCAAACAAGGTACAGCGACCCCGTTTAAGCGTGGCGACTTGATGCTCTTCAAGTTCGGCGAGCGACTTGAAAATCCAGGTTATAACTCCTCTTGGCATCCGATCATGTTGTCTGGATTTTCTAATCTTCGGTTAAGCTACTTTCGAAATTGCCACTTTCACAATGTTTGCCTACTTGTGTCTCTTGATGGCAGGCAAGTGCGCAACCACATCAACCGTGTCTTGAATGTATGCTAACAAGGAACAGCAGCCCTAGCGGCAGCAGCCAACACCTCCGTTCCCTTGCGCATAATGCCCCTCGGCGCGTCCGTAACCTTCGGCGTGGGCTCTACGACGGGGGACAGCTACCGCAAGGACCTGCGCGATACACTCGTTGCCTCCAGGCATCAAGTCAACATGGTCGGATCTCGAAAGAACGGGAACGACTTCACGGATAACGATGTCGAGGCTACGCCGGGGTTCGTCATTTCCCAGATTGCAAAGTCAGCTAAGACAGCAACTCCCAAGTTTTTACCGAACTTGGTGTTAGTGGATGCCGGTACGAACAACTGCAACAATGGCGGCATGGTGCCGGATGCAGGCGCAAACGTCACGGCTATGATCAACGACCTGTTCGCACTTAGTCCGGGGGTCACCGTCGTGCTGGCTACTATTTTAGCAAATAAGATTGCCGCCCAGGATGCGTGCCGCGTAAATATCAAGCAGTATCAAGCGCTAGCGACGCAGTTTCAGGAGCAACAGAAGAAACTGGTGCTGGTTGTTAATCC